AGAGCTGGAGACCATCTCCTTCTGCAATAATGAGACGTACAAAAAAAAACACACACACGCGCGCGCGCGAGGGGAAATGTTATTGGAATCTAATTTTGAATTCCTTTGAAGATTTAATATATTCTAGTCATTACATCGGCACTGAGTTATGATATTAAATATAATTTATTATCAATTTAACAGTTACGATACACCAAGAATTTAAAGTAAATACAAATAGCATCATATCTAACCAAATCCAACGAAGCAATTGGACAACCGTAGAGGGGTGTCACCGACCCCGCGGTCGGTAGTATCTATTTTACATTTAAATGTTCCAGTTTTTTTGTAAATGATAGTTGAAGCCCTCCGTTAGATATATTGAATCAATATCTAAGGTAACTCAAGTGATAACAAAGACAAGTTATAAACTTAGACGTTATGAATTAGAATCTTGACAACCCCTTGAGATCAGACCTTGAAAAATTTATCCTTCATAAATACCCATGTCCCAGTGTGGATAGTTTGTCTTTGATCGGATTAAAAAAAGGATTAGTTGAGATGAGCATAAATTGACCANTATTCATTGATTCCTATAATTTGAATGGTCTGAGAGTTAAATTAAAAAATATGATATAATTGTCTTTATATAAGTGTTTGAGGATAAAAAAGAAAGATAAAATTAGCGTGACATTAATTTTGAAAGATAAAGATGACATAGTTATAGTTTTAAAGGGTAAAAGTGAAAAATAAATATTTTTCACATATGCTGANCTATTTTTTATGGTGATCGGTGTTTCCCTCATTTTCTTGCGTTCCCAACCAACTAGACAACCAGTTAGAGCTGAATTAGGACCCAAAGCCGCATAAAGAAAGGACTTTAGACATATCATGTCAAGGAAATCTTAACTGTGTATTAACTAGTGCTTACTATATAAATAGCTTCCGTTGATATATCCCTTTGTAAGCATTGTTTATAGCGGGGAATTGTCCCCTCCACAAGCTTTCATTGGACTCATGGCCATAATGTAAATTCAGAAATATACAATTACCTGTAAATCACGCTCATCAGATAAACAACGGCTCTCTTGCAAGAGTCAAACTTGAGACCAAAGATAGTAACCTCTAAAATCTTTCNAGCTTTCTTCAATTTTGTGGGTTACCGTTAGGCGGGCTATGTCCTTGTAGAACATCATGAATACAACACATTCTTACAGAGCTAGAGACCATCTCCTTCTGCAATAATGAGACGTACAAAAACACACACACACACACACACACGAGGAGAAATGTTATTGGAATCTAATTTTGAATTCCTTTGAAGATTTAATATATTCTAGTCATTACATCGGCACTGAGTTATGACATTGAATACAATTTATTATCAATTTAACAGTTACGATACACCAAGACTTTAAAATAAATACAAATAGCATCATATCTGACCAAATCCAAAGAAGCAATTGGACAACCGTAGAGGGGTGTCACCGACCCCGCGGTCGGTAGTATCTATTTTACATTTAAATGTTCTAGTTTTTTTGTAAATGATAATTGAAGCCCTCAGTTAGATATATTGAATCAATATCTAAGGTAACTCAAGTGATAACAAAGACAAGTTATAAACTTAGACGTCATGAATTAGAATCTTGACAACCCCTTGAGATCAGACCTTGAAAAATTTATCCTTCATAAATACCCATGTCCCAGTGTAGATAGTTTGTCTTTGATCGGATTAAAAAAGGGATTAGTTGAGATGCGCATAAATTGACCTTGACACCCCTAACTGTTGAACCAAATAAGATATATTGAGTCAAAGGCCAAAAAAAATATTATATTCATTTCCCCATCAAATATTGATTTTTCTTCTATTTTTTATGGTGATCGGTCTTTCCCTCATTTCTTGCGTTCCCAACCAACTAGACAACCAGTTAGAGCTGAATTAGGACCCAAAGCCGCATAAAGAAAGGACTTTAGACATATCATGTCAAGGAAATCTTAACTGTGTATTAACTAGTGCTTACTATATAAATAGCTTACGTTGATATATCCCTTTGTAAGCATTGTTTATAGCGGGGAATTGTCCCCTCCACAAGCTTTCATTGGACTCATGGCCATAATTTAAATTCAGAAATATACAATTACCTGTAAATCATGCTCATAAGATAAACAACGGCTCTCTTGCAAGAGTCAAACTTGAGACCAAAGATAGTAACCTCTAAAATCTTTTNAAAATGTATGGATGGATATAACTGGAATTTTAGCTGTTTCAATCAATTTAATACAGCATTAATAATAGTGGCACGTGTTCAACCGCGGCCTAGAGTTCCAGACTCAGTACAGGTCCCCCTACAAGAATTCACATGCATGACAAGTAAATCATAAAAGAGATCAAATTATAACAGATATAAAGTTCACCTACATATATATATGAGAGGTGGAAATGAATGGGGCACGGGTGTTTCATGTACTGCCCACCTTTCTACGGAGAAAGCAATTCCTTTTTNTGAAATTGCAACAAAAAGTGAAGATGATAAGATCCTGCAGACAAAAAGGGGAGAAATGAAAGGCAGGATAGAAAAGAAAGTTGCTGTATTGTTTTGATTCAAAAGATACAAAATGAAGAATCAAAGTTGTTGAAAGATTTTGTACAGTCTAATAAAGGATTGACACTATGTTTAAATGCCTATGTAGTATTTGTATTTAGAAAGATTTATCCGACATTGCCCATTTGGTAGATTAGATTCATAAGTATGCTGATGACTCCACAAACTTTATCGTCTATTGACCGGTACGCAGATTGGGTAATTCAGTAACAAATTATTTGACTAGATGTGCTTTTAGTTGTGAAGGATTTTGTACATGAAATGATATGGCTTTGATTTTAGTTTCGCCATTCCTCCAGCTTAACGTTTATTCACTCTAAATAATAAGGAGGAAAAAGAAAAATCTTCTATTGCTATACTTTTTGACTAGCCTAGAGTCAGGTTAGGCCTGAGCCCAGTAACTAGGTTTAGCAGAAATCATCAAAAAAATAGGTCAAATTTAACTCATGCCGCCGGTCTAGTTCGGGAGTTTAAGAAAAGTCAACACATGTGATAAAATAATTATTAAGATAGTTATTACTTAAAGATAATGTTCATCTCTAATTGTAACTATTCTTTCCAAAAAAATTAATAATTTTTCCTTCATGTCATCGCCTCAACTAGGACTTTGAGCTTATTAATTATAAATCTTCTGCACATGCACATGAGGGACTGACACAGTGACTCACAAAGCTATCTTTCCACACCAAAAGCTTACTCATTCTTTGTCAATAAAACTCTCTGGCTACTATTGCAGTCATCTTCAAAATAAAGTAGATTACATCGATCAAATTATTCTATATCTGTACTAATCTCATCTTTATATTTATTATTTTTATTATTTATATTAATTATTCGGCAAGTGATGCCTTGATTCACTTTTGTGTATCATCGCTATCGACTAAAAAACATGAAAAGATTTTTAAAAAAATATGATACTGCTACTAACTAATTGCATCCATTATCATTTTCCAAATTGATATGAATTCTAACTCAGAGTTAATTGCCCTTTTAAGATGTCATGTCAAAAATTAATATCTATAATTCAAATTACTAAAAAATAATTATGAAATTGTAAAAGCTGTGCACATACATCTTTAGAGTTTATGCAAAGACATTCAATTCAAATCAAACACAATTTACCAAAAATATAACATAATTTATTCAGAAGCAGATTATGAAAATAAATATCAAAAAAAATGTATGGATGGATATAACTGGAATTTTAGCTGTTTCAATCAATTTAATACAGCATTAATAATAGTGGCACGTGTTCAACCGCGGCCTAGAGTTCCAGACTCAGTACAGGTCCCCCTACAAGAATTCACATGCATGACAAGTAAATCATAAAAGAGATCAAATTATAACAGATATAAAGTTCACCTACATATATATATGAGAGGTGGAAATGAATGGGGCACGGGTGTTTCATGTACTACCCACCTTTCTACGGAGAAAGCAATTCCTTTTTTAAAAAAAAAAAAAAATTAAAAGGTTGGGTATTGAAAATGTAATTATAATATTAATTTTCTTTTTAAAAAAGAACTTGATTTTTGAATTTGAATTTGAATTTTAATCAATTTCTCTACGTACAAATGTGTAATTGCGTACATCTTATCCGGTCGAAACCCGAATTAACCATTACCATTAACTTAATTAATTACAATGTAATCACTGTTACTCTAAAATAGTATCTTAATTTACCAAAAGCTCCTCAACTTTGTATTGAAATTACCACTGAAAGGACCGCGTTCTACTTTTAAACAGTCACGATTGACCGTCAACGGCAGAAAGACGGTTCTTGCACCGAGGATAGGACAATTATGTTGACATCCCCAGAAGTTTGGCATAATTATATGGAGATCCTTACTATTTTATAAATGGCAAGAACAACCGTTAAAAAACATCTTCTAGAGCTAATATGGATTAAATTATGTTTATATCTCAGTTTGCTATTGTTTTTCCATTTTTCTTAATATTGTAATTTTCTCTCCANGAACAACCGTTAAAAAACATCTTCTAGAGCTAATATGGATTAAATTATGTTTATATCTCAGTTTGCTATTGTTTTTCCATTTTTCTTAATATAGTAATTTTCTTTCCGCTCAAGTAGGTTATTGGATTAGTAGGTCTCATTACATCATACTAATCATCCAATAATTGCAATTACGGTACACAATTCACAAAAAAAAGTTAAAAAAACATTGTTGTAAATAAAAACACCCACCCGATGTGGTTTGATGGCGAGTGAGATCCCAATATTTACAAGTTTGTTTCCAACCATACATGACAAGTGATTTACAATCGAATCAAATTAAATTAAAAATCCATTTTTCCTACTAAAATAGTTATAAAAAAAAAAAGAAAAAGAAAAAATATTCACTTGTACATCCATGTCATCCAAAATGATCTGTCATAACTTACAAATGAGTGTCAGCAATGAGGTATATCATGTGATGAAAGTGGCATGTTTTTATCTATTTGAAAACCCAAGCACTTTGTTTAATACTTTTGAAGTTCTTCAATTACCAAAAGTATCACTTTGTAACTTTCTTAAACAATATTAAAATTAGTATCATCCATTAATACCAAGAAAGACTCTGTATATAAAGCCTGACAAAGCAAGAGAAAAGCTCATTACTCATACATACATGCTCTCCAAAACACCATGGCAACCACAACCCGAGACGAATCCGATTATGATAGCAGCTGTTCTTCCATAACAGTGCAGGACTCCAGCCGGAGCTGGCTCAGCTCGGCCAGCCGCCGGAGCTCCATATCCCTCTCCTCCTCCGGCGACACCTATATCTCCAACTGTCACAAGCCACACCAGGCAAACCAAGCAGCCTGGGAAGCCATGAAGCGCCTCCGCGGAGACAAAGGAGGCCAAGTCGGGCTCGAACAATTCCGGCTGCTCCGCCGGCTCGGCAGCGGTGACCTTGGAAACGTGTACCTTTGCCAGATTCGGAACCCGGTGGTGGGGTTGCCTCACTGCTTTTATGCCATGAAAGTGGTGGACAGAGAAGCTCTGGTGATAAGGAAGAAGTTGCAGAGAGCAGAAATGGAGAAGGAGATTTTGGGCATGCTTGATCATCCATTTTTACCCACTTTGTATGCAGAGTTTGATGCCTCTCATTACTCTTGCCTGGTTATGGAGTTTTGTCCCGGTGGAGATTTGCACGCAGCCAGACAACGCCAACCCGGGAAGCGGTTCAGCATTTCATCTGCTAAGTAAGTTTGATAAGGGTTGTTAACATTATTTTGAGTAAATCATCAAAAAAACAAAAAAAACAGTTCACTTCAGACCGGTGGTGTAAAGTATCAGTTGATACTAATACTAATACTAATACGTCTCGGTTGAGTTGTACTCAGATGGATACATTATGTACTAATGCATATTTCACATAACCCACAAGTTTAACTAGGATTGTAATTGGCTCCGAAACATTTTAATTGACTAGATCGTGTTGTCTAAGTCACATTATAGATTATTAAACATAGAATTTAATTAACAATATATATGACTTGAATTTTTTGTCATGTCCAATTTTTTTTATATAAAGTATTTTGTGTATATTGTCTTAGGTGACGTTATGACCTATGTGTCGTTACTAAATAATTGATATTGTGACCTTCAACCATGTGTATTAGGTCGTGTTGTGGTTGTGTAGTTTCTCGACTTATAACTGAAAGAAACAGCTAACTTGGCTGTAAAAATTGCAGGTTTTATGCAGCAGAAACTCTTCTGGCCCTAGAGTATCTCCACATGATGGGTATTGTTTACAGAGATCTTAAGCCAGAAAATGTGCTTGTTAGAGAAGATGGTCACATAATGCTTTCAGATTTTGATCTCTCTCTCAAATGCGACGTCGTTCCAAAGCTCCTAAGGCCAAAACCTGACCCACAAGCCATTGACAAGAACATAAAAACCTCATGCTCATCACCTTCTTGTGCATTACCCATCCAGCCAGTTCTCTCTTGTTTCTCATCATCCACCAAGAAAACCAAACCCACCATCACAACAACAATCACAGAACAAGTTGATTTTCAAGAACACAATCCAGAATTAGTAGCCGAACCCGTTAACGCTAAATCCAAATCCTTCGTCGGAACTCACGAGTACTTGGCGCCGGAGGTGATCTCCGGACAAGGCCATGGCAGTGCTGTGGATTGGTGGACTTTTGGGGTGTTCTTGTATGAGCTCTTATATGGAAGAACACCCTTCAAAGGAGAGAACAATGAGAAAACCCTAATCAACATATTAAAGCAGCCATTGATTTTCCCAAGAATTGGTGTTAGTACAAGCAGAGAATATGAAGAAATGGTGAAAGTTCAAGATCTCATAAGCAGGCTGTTAGTGAAGAATCCAAAGAAGAGAATTGGAAGTTTAAAGGGTTCTGTTGAGATCAAGAGGCATGAGTTCTTCAAGGGTGTGCATTGGGCTTTGATTAGGTCAGTAAGGCCACCAGAGGTCCCTAGTGATCTTCAGAAGATTAGAAGTAGAGTTGTTTTACCTAAGTTAAGCAAGAAAGAGAGAGATGAACCATATCAGATCCCCCATCATTTTGACTACTTCTAAGTTCTAAGTGTAAAAAAATTAGATAGTAAGGAAAGCAAGAATGTATGATACTAAAGAAAGAGTTGTTTTTCTCTATTTACCCCTAGCTAATGAGATGGATTCCATTATGTAAAATCACATTAGCATCATGTTTCCTGTTCAAAAAAAAGCATCTTGTTTTCATTGTTTGGGTTAGATTACATGATTAGCTCTCTCTCTCTCTCTCTCAATGCAATTCAGTTTAGAGTGTGATTTTATTTGGTAAGATTGAATCATATTGACTATGCACCCTTTCGACTCAAGGATGGAATATAAATCTCAGATATATATGCAATCATTCGCAACACATACAAAGCACACCAATTCAAGTTTTAAGGGTTTTCTAGAACTGAACTCAAGATATCCATAGAAATATTGTATTGTACCCTTTATTAAACTACTAAAGTTAACTCACACAGTTACTTTTGTGACTGGAGTTCAAGAAGTACATATTTATGTCTCAATGCATATTCCAGTACTCAACTATATAAACGCATTCGGGGTAATATTTTGTAACTCATACGGACATTGTTTTAGAATTATACCGAGAACATAAATTTCATACAAAAGTTTATAAACAGATCCTACTCTATATTTTATGATTTGGAGACGTGTAAAGGGTGGGGCAGCCATTATTGTCTCCATGTTTTTTCTCATGAAAACTCATGAGATCATGTGATGACCATTATTACTCTCTCAATGATGGAAGAAATTATATAGAATAATATAAGGATGAATCTACATCTTCCTTTTTGTTAATATCTCTACTTTCTTTCCTCTGAGTACCTTGGTGTTCCACGCATTCAAATGTCCTTTTACTGATTTAAAGTAAAAGAATAGAACAAGTCCATCATTGTTCCTTGCTTTTTGATTTTTTTTGTTTCTCTTTTACTATTAAGGATGGTTTCAACTTTCAACCCTACATTTTTTGAATTTGCAGTCACAATTTAAATCTTCAATGCATGCAATTTCTTATAAATAAGGATCGCTTAAACTTATGGGTTTTATATGACATGTGTGACTCAAAATAAAAACGTATAAATTCACGTCTCACTTCTTATTCGATCGTTGAAACATCTTGTGTAGCTTATCATTATTTTTTTCACATCTTTCTATTTTTATTGTTCAAATTACCATCATTGTGGTTTTGTATTTTTATCTTTCAAGGCAATCATTCTTTTAAAAGGCTTCCAAGGAAGAAATTAAAAAGGAGAAAAAAGATTGAAATTATTTTTTACCACAAATTCTTGACAAGTTCAAACTTATGTACAATTTTGCATTGATCAGTTGCTACTGAAGCCATACTAATTATAAAATAAATGGACATTGGGATAAGGTTATGTAAATACGATCCTCCTTATATCCGGAAATAATTAAAGTCTTGTTCCTTTTTTGACTAACTTTCACCAAGCATTTTTATAAACAACTATGAACAGGAAAGTTATCATGCATGCTCATAAAATAATTATGTAAATTAATCTCACCAAGAAAGAGTAGAGAAAAAAGAAGAAATTAAGGAGCTTAATGCCCTCTCAATAAAAAGTAAAAAGAAAAAAAAGTAGAAGAAGGCATTATTTAGGCTCCATTAACTCAGCAGGAGAGCAATCATAAAAGGTCCTGTGTGTTCTTCATGAAAGTGGAAATCATCCCTGAAAAGTTTGCAGGAACATGGGCCTTGAATTTTTTGCACTCTCAATCGGAAAATCTTAATTATTCAGCTTTTGTTCACACACAAACAGAGAGGCACATTTACAATGAAAGCTCTCATTTTATACACCCTGATTAGATAATGAACTAAAAATTTAAACAGCAAAAGACATTGTGACTAGGATCAAAACTTTATTCATTTATCAAAAAAAAATTCGTGTTCTAGTTTAATTTTAAAGTTTGTTTGATGAATGAGTCAAGCCTACACAATAATTTGTTAAGTTTGTCTAGATTATTGAACCTATATATTCATATATTCATTATTCGTCTTATTATACGTGTCTTTTTGAAAGTCGTTATAATTTTAAATCAATCACGAACTCATTTTACAAATGAATGAGTCGAGTTTAAACAACCTAGTGCCCGTCGGTTTAGTATATTGGCACTTCTAGATTTGGCCAAATCAGCCAAAACAAAAATTGAAAAAAAAAAATGATGGATAGATTAAATAAAATTCTGCCTTCTACTAAAATTCATTCTTGTTGCCATATTGGGAATGAAGATTGGATGAATTCTTGTTTACCGAAACATACTCAGTAAAAATTTTAGAAGATAGCTCAAGTGGTAACGGGAAAGAGTTTTAAACTTAGATGTCCTGAGTTCGAATTTTGACAACTTTTTGAGNAATCTTAATTATTCAGCTTTTGTTCACACACAAACAGAGAGGCACATTTACAATGAAGATAGCTCTCATTTTATACACCCTGATTAGATAATGAACTAAAAATTTAAACAGCAAAAGACATTGTGACTAGGATCAAAACTTTATTCATTTATCAAAAAAAAATTCGTGTTCTAGTTTAATTTTAAAGTTTGTTTGATGAATGAGTCAAGCCTACACAATAATTTGTTAAGTTTGTCTAGATTATTGAACCTATATATTCATATATTCATTATTCGTCTTATTATACGTGTCTTTTTGAAAGTCGTTATAATTTTAAATCAATCACGAACTCATTTTACAAATGAATGAGTCGAGTTTAAACAACCTAGTGCCCGTCGGTTTAGTATATTGGCACTTCTAGATTTGGCCAAATCAGCCAAAACAAAAATTGAAAAAAAAAAATGATGGATAGATTAAATAAAATTCTGCCTTCTACTAAAATTCATTCTTGTTGCCATATTGGGAATGAAGATTGGATGAATTCTTGTTTACCGAAACATACTCAGTAAAAATTTTAGAAGATAGCTCAAGTGGTAACGGGAAAGAGTTTTAAACTTAGATGTCCTGAGTTCGAATTTTGACAACTTTTTGAGGTTAATCCATGAAAGATTTATTTCTCATAAATATCTTAGTTCTTGCATAAATGTCCTATCTGTGACCTAACAAAATATACCCATAAGAAATTGAGGTAAAAGAAGGCATGTAATTTCATATAGTATATCATAATTAAAGGAACGAACCAGTCAAAATTCTTATAAAAAGCCAAGTTGATGACCAAATTGAAGAAGATACTGCAAACCCATCAAACCCAATGATGGGTTTTTGCACTGAGATTGTCAGCTCACACTTGCATGCGTAGCAAAAGCTTTTCTAGCTACCAGTACCAGCAAGGTGGCCCAAAGCAACAAGGGGTGATATTGTCATTTCATTGTTCACAAAGTTTTCGTCAATTTTTTTAGGTTAATTGCAATGTCACTGGAGTACGAGATTTGTCTCATTTTTATCCTTAATATTTCAATTGCATTATTTTAATCTTTGAAGTATTTAATATGTTTCTGTATAGTCGTTCAAGCAGACAACGTTTAAATTATTAACAATTTTTTATTATAAATTTGTCACGTGATACTTAAATATTTGGTTAAAAAAATAATTTATATAATTCTTGACTAAATTTCAGNATATTGGCACTTCTAGATTTGGCCAAATCAGCCAAAACAAAAATTGAAAAAAAAAAAATGATGGATAGATTAAATAAAATTCTGTCTTCTACTAAAATTTATTCTTGTCGCCATATTGGGAATGAAGATTGGATGAATTCTTGTTTACCGAAAAATACTGGGTAAAAATTTTAGAAGATAGCTCTAAGTGGTAACGGGAAAGAGTTTTAAACTTAGATGTCTTGAGTTCGAATTTTGACAACTCTTTGAAGTTAATCCATGAAAGATTTATTTCTCATAAATATCTTAGTTCTTGCATAAATGTCCTATCTGTGACCTAACAAAATATACCCATAAGAAATTGAGGTAAAAGAAGGCATGTAATTTCATATAGTATATCATAATTAAAGGAACGAACCAGTCAAAATTCTTATAAAAAGCCAAGTTGATGACCAAATTGAAGAAGATACTGCAAACCCATCAAACCCAATGATGGGTTTTTGCACTGAGATTGTCAGCTCACACTTGCATGCGTAGCAAAAGCTTTTCTAGCTACCAGTACCAGCAAGGTGGCCCAAAGCAACAAGGGGTGATATTGTCATTTCATTGTTCACAAAGTTTTCGGCAATTTTTTTAGGTTAATTGCAATGTCACTGGAGTACGACATTTGTCTCATTTTTATCCTTAATATTTCAATTGTATCATTTTAATTTTTGAAGTATTTAATATGTTTCTGTATAGTCGTTCAAGCAGATAACGTTTAAATTATTAACAATTTTTTATTATAAATTTGTCACATGATACTTAAATATTTGGTTAAAAAAATAATCTATATAATTCTTGACTAAATTTCTATGTAAATATTGGTCAAAGAACTATCCAAATTATACATTTTTGATCATAAAATATCCAAATTTTGATTAAAAATTATCCATATTACACAATTTTGGTCAACATTGACTCAAATTTTGGCTAAGGGCTATCTAAATTATTTATTGTCCATATTTAGATATTACCTGACAAATTTATGGTAAAAAACTGTTAGCAATTTAAATGTTGTCTACTTGAGAGATCACATAAAAACATATTCAATATTTTAAGGATTAAAATGATGAAATTAAATTATTGGGGACTAAAATGAGATAAATGTCATAATTGAGAGACCTCCGGTGTAATTAACCCTTTTCTTTTAGATTTTTTTTTTTTAATTTTCTTGTCAGCCTCTAGGGTGAACATCCCTTTCTAAACTGTCACGAGTCACCCCATGAGAGCTTGAATTTTACGAGTTACAAAATTTATATATTTATGAAATGGGAGAATTATACCTAGATTAATTAAAATTTGTCATTAATCATTTAGACCATGATATTTAAAAATTATATATAAAACCATTAAAATTTGTACGCACGTAACATTTAGACTCATACTGTCAATATTTGTGTGTCCGTTAGTAAATTAAACTAAAACCCCTCAAATTTGAAGGTATGTTATACTTAGATTCATTATTAATTATAGAATTAACGGAATCTATTAAACGACAAAATTACC